GAGGGAAAGCAGCTAGTCATCACTACCCACTGCCAACTCTTGGGCTATTCTTTTAGCGACTATCAGAAGTTAAACAACCTCCCAACTACCCAACATCCAATAGTGTTGTATATAAAATTGAGTGTCCCTGTGGATTGTCTTACATAAGAAAGACGGGAAAACTGTGGACAAAGACTCAAAGAAAACCAAATGCAGTAAGATTGATAAAGTGTGACTCTTTCTGATCAGTTATTGATAAAAATCAAAGAATCGAATGGCACAAAAACAAAGTAATTGACAAGGAAATACAAAAAAAAAGAAAGAAGCTAAACTGCACAAGAGGAAGGAGGGAGGGAATAGTGACATTACTGGTCTCCAAAAAACCCTAAGCTAAGAAAATGTCGCTGCAGGGCACTATTGGGAAGCAGGTTGTGCAACATCAACAGAAGAAATACAATCCTCAGTATTAGTTTGTCGCTTCCGAAAGTTAAAATGTCTTTTTATATGTACGTGTGATTTCCAGGGCCTGACATGGCCTGGTGGTTAGGATGCTTGACTCGCATAGATGACACACATACAGGAGTCACAAAGAATGAGAAATGGCAACTAAGTGGTCAGTTTAACCCTAATACAACTCATTAGTAAATATAAAATAAACGTAAATAAGTTGTACAATGCTCTAGAATTTTATATTTTCTTTAAACCTCATGTAATGCACCTCGTTCTTATGCTACCATAATCTTATCAATATATGATTATGAAATATTTTCCAAGTGCCCTGTATTACTTCACATAATTCAAATAACTTGTTTGGTGGCTACTTGGACTTCTCAGTTTCCAGATAACAATACAACTTTCACATTATTCAAATAAGGACTTTGTGCAGATCAAGCAATTGTTGTGAGTGTTACCTTGGTCTCTTTTTTTTCCCCTTCCAGATATCATTTCACCAAATTTGTTGCATGCTTGGAATCACTGCCTTGCTGGAAGATGAACCCTCGAGCACATGACATGATGGATAAGAATCTGCTTCCATCTGCGAGCACTCAGGGAGTCATCAGTTTTATGTAGATCTCCGATAGCATTGTCTTAGATGCATCTCACACTTGTAACTGGTTCCAAGCATGTTTCATTGTAAGAAGATGTGCGCTAACTGTGATACCATTCTCCTTTCTGCCATCAAAAAAGTTATCTTTCGTGATAGCTAAACAATATAAAATTTAATTCAACTGAAAAGAGCACCCTTCTATAACTTTGTTCATCCCATTTTTCAAAGTATGATGCTCATTTCAATTTCTTAAATTGGTTAACTCTTCTAAGCAGTGATTTTGGAGCAATTACACATCTTTAGCGGCAACTTTTTGCTTATCTTACTTTTCTCAGCTTACATTTAGGTCATTGGCAAGATCCTTACTGGATTAATGTAAATAACATACCCTAAGCTACTTATTTTCAGTTTTAAAAGTTCGGTCTTTCTACCCGACCACTCCTATTGTCAACAGAAGTGGGTTCGCATACCATTTTCAGAGTTTCCATGCAGGTTCTACTGAAACACGAAATGTAGCCTCAGTCTGTCGCGTGTAAAGCTTTCTCTAGTCGAAACTTTGATTTCTACACATTTTTCATGAACAATTCCTGGCCTGGGACTCATCAATGCATTTGCCACACTACTGATGAGAAAAGTATGAGTGGCTCTACTTTTATAGGCATTATGCTGGTATGGCCAGTCACGTGAAACTAACAACGCGTGAATTTATTACATCACAGTTCGTTGCAGTATAACATAGGTGAAGGCATTTACATAATATTTCCTTGTATATTTTTTTTCCTATAATTCCTTCTAATGCAGCTTATATATATATATATAACATCTGCATTTTTCAATATTGAAATTATATATATTAATAATGTACAATTTACTTGCAATGAATTGACATAGCTTCCAGGGTAGATAGTTAACCATTCTTGTTCCAATAAAGCCAAGTTCAGCACCAGTTCCTAAGTTAAGAATATGTTAAAGCATTTTTACGATCTACATTTTTTCACTTACTTCCAGGTTCTTAACTTTTAACAAATAATATTATTTATTTGTAAATAGGAACAGGAGGAAATGATGTTTTAAAACAAGCTGAATCTGAAATCCTTGATGAAGCGGACTGCAGTACCGAATTCGTTGATTTCAACAGCACAACTATGATTTGCACTGGAACACAAGCTGGCGGTCATGGAGTATGTCATGTGAGTATACTGTTTTAGGTTGTTGTTTTTTATTCGAGCTGTCAAGTAACAGCTCACTTAACTAAGTACCAATTTTTGTGTCATTAGCATAATTCAATCAATCAATGTTGTCACAGATGGTTCTTTGTCTCCACTAAAATATATTATTATTTTGTATTCAAAGTTTTACTTTCACCAACGTCCCCTTCCTCCTCCACTGGCTCAACGATAAATCTGCAGACTTACGGCGCTAAAGTTCGGGTTTCGATGCCTGTGCTAGGCAGAGCACAGATAGTCCATTATGTAACTTTTGGCTTAACAACAACCAAACCAAACTTTTGCCAACTGATTTTTTTTTTTTTTGTTCTTTAACATTATTTCTGAAGCATCTGACAATTACATTTTCGTATAGCAATGAAACGTAATTACATAATAAATTAACTAATCGTTTGAAGTCCGACCTCTTTAACCCATGGAGAACATAGAAGACTTAAATTCGGGTGCTTTTCTACTTTGTTGTCTTATCGTTCTAGCTTCGTAAACTCTGGACCTGTCGAATTCAGAAGACTTGAACATAAGATTTCCACACCTGATCACTTTCATTATCAGATATATTTTATAAAAATTACTAATTAATAATCTGGATTCCAAAATCTAAGCTACATTCTGTTTTAAGACGTTTACAAAGTGAAGGTCGTTCTCTAAACAAGTCAATATTTCTTTGCAGGGAGACAGCGGAGGTCCATTATCGTGCAAGTTCGGCGATCACTGGGAAGTGCTTGGAGTCGCGAGCTACGTTACCAGAAACAACATGATTTCTGGTCTCTGTGGTGTGAAGAATGGGCCGTCGGGGTACGCTCGAATATCAACACACATAGACTGGATTAATGATATCATGGAATCTTTTTCGTAATGTTAAAGGCACTGTGAAAAAATTAAATTAACTTAAAAAAATAATGTTTCGTGTCTATTACTGGGTTAGTAATTATATAACCTATACAAATAAATGTGTGTAAAACATTTAGCACAAAACATCTATGAAAAGAAATAAGATAATTTTAAAAAACATTTATAAAGCTGTTTCTAGTAGAAGTTTATTAATTAAAACACCCATGCAAGAAAACCGGCGTGTCGATGTTTGACGTTGTTTTTGTTTTTTTATAACTGACATAAAAGTTCGTTCAGAAATGATAATTTAAGAAAATGAAAAAGCTTGTGAAAAGAAAGTAGAGCACTTAAAACACTGTCTGAATTTTCAGTTCAAATGATTTATTGTAAAGATGAGAAGACCTTAACGCCACAGTGATATTTTTTTCTTTTACTGGCGAAACCGTGTCATTCTCCTGAACATATCAGGCCCGGCATAGCCAGGTGGTTACGGCGCTCGATTCGCAAGCCAAGGGTCGCGGGTTCGAATCCCCGTCTCACCAAACATGCTCGCCCTTTCAGCCGTGGGGGCGTTATAATGTGACGGTCAATCCCACTATTCGTTGGTAAAAGAGTAGCCCAAGAGTTGGCGGTGGGTGGTGATGACTAGCTGCCTTCCCTCTAGTCTTACACTGCTAAATTAGGGACGGCTAGCGCAAGTAGCCCTCGTGTAGTTTTGCGCGAAATTCAAAACAAACCTAAACATATCTGTTTTTGAATTCAATAAAAAAGGTTAGATTATCATTGATGGTGTTTACAATAGTGTTGGACTTCTAATAACTTCCCACTCTAATATTCATAAACAGCGAACGGTAATACTGGTAACAACGAACTTTTCCAGGATTTCTTGCAGAACATCTTAAAGACTTTGATCTAAAAAAGTTACTTTGAAAGATGCTGTTAATTAGAGGATCAAATCGAATAATTGGATCTCCATGAAGATGATCAATTAGCATATTTTTCTACACAATCTCTTTTTATTTCCAAACCATTAGATGAGGCCATTAAACTTAGTAAATATCTAATAATTGATGAAATTGTCATGATGTAGATGATTAAATGACACTTTTATTGTATTTAGAAATGCTGAACAGATTACTAAGTTTCTTATTTTGAACAACAAATAATGACTCGTCATATTCTACGATGAGATATCAGGAAAAAACAACACTTAATACCCCAAAGATAATTTGATGAATATTTTACTCAAGGGTATCTTCAAAATAAGTGAAAAAAACATGAATAGTTTATGAAGAATTAAAGAATATTTAAACATGTATTACCGAAAAATAAATATCTGAGTGTTGAACTTCATTATGTAAAATTACAATTTTTTTTTCTATTGTTCTCAATGCATAAATATATTAAGTATTCTCTTTACTATTAATTGAATCTCAAAAAATATTTCTTCATGAGTATTCAGTCGTTTATTTGCAAAATGTTTACAGTATTTCATACGTCTAAAAGGTAAAAATATTAATTCATACCTTGTACGTGTTTCTCTTGTGACTGTTTATGTACTGAATGAATTACCAACCTTTTTAACCTCAGTGTTATTATTACAGAAAGGATTTAAAAGTAGGCTCGAACAAGAAAAAATTTTAATACGCCACATATTCAAAAATATAGAAAACGTGTGTGATTTTTTCAAAACAAAATGAGAAAAGTATTTGTTTGTATTAATAAGTGGTGGAGGTGGTATTCAACGTTCATCGATATTAACGTTTTCGCTTTCAAAGAATAAAAAGAAAGCTCCAATAAAAATTGTCTCTTGTGCAAATATTATGAAAAGAACGAAAATGTGACTTTTGAAGGACGGGCCCGGCATGGCCAGGTGGTTAAGGCATTCGACTCGCAATCTGAGGGTCGCGGGTTCGAATCCCCGTCCCACCAAACATGCTCGCCCTTTCAGCCGTGGGGGCGTTATAATGTGACGGTCAATCTCACTATTCGTTGGTAAAAGAGTAGCCCAAGAGTTGGTGATGACTAGCTGCCTTCCCTCTAGTCTTACACTGCTAAATTATTTGTGTTAAAAACTAAGACAGTGTGTATCAATCTTGTTGGCAAATGTCATAAACTGACTA